AAATTGAAAAGGATAGAAAAATACCTTTCTTAGATATAATGGTAATGAGAACTGAGAACAATATTATCACCAACTGGTATAAAAAACCGACATCTTCAGGTAGATTTCTGAATTTTTTATCTAATTATCCAATATACCAAAAAATCAACACTGTTAGAAACTTTATAAGCAGAGTCAAAGCTTTAAGTAATGAAATATTTATGGAAGATAATAGCTGCGTTTCAGCAAACCTGATCCGCTCAATGATCTGAATCATCTTTGCTGAAACGATACGGATCACGTTTGAAAATAATTGGCAACGCATGAAATATGATAGTTGGGTTTGTATACAAAATTTTTTGATTTATGTGAATAATTTTGGCGCTAAAAAAATAAGTGAGAAAATTTTGAATACAAAAAATCTAAAACTTGGAAAATAAATAAAATCTGTTGAAATGTCTGAAGTATGAAATGTAAGTTTTTATTTAGTATTTACTTAAAAACTTAAATTTAATTCTATAGTAAATAAATGGAAATTGCAGATTTTATTAGAATTATCGAGCAAAACTGACTTCTCCATTTTCTTTTTAAACACTAGTCCAAGTGTATTAAGCTCAAGGGATGAAGTGCATCAGCATGGATATAGTGGAAATTTTATGGAAACGATCAATAATTGTTCCGTTAAAGATTATTAAATTGGTATTTGCGCATAAAAAATACAATTGCTATATATTAATTATGTTTCATATTTTAATAGATTTGTTAATAAAATCCAATCAGCAAATACAAAATAACCGTGGTGGTCACAATTGAACGAGAGCAATGAAGGAAATTTACATATTTTTGTGGTATATGGCAAATATAAATACTTTTCGCGAATTTGGTATTTGTTTTGGCATACCAAAAGCTTCTGTATGGAGAATAATTGAAAGAACTAGTGTTTAGCTTATATCAATTGCAAAATATCCGTTCGTGATTGACAGCACACATGTTAAAATAAATGTACCTCACCTTAGCAATTAGGCTTATTTCAAAAGGAAGCATGAATATAGCTTAAACTTGCAAGCAGTTTGCAATGGTTTTTTTTAAACGTGTATGTTGGAGAGCCTGTTTCGTTATGTATTGTTCTGTTTTAATTAAATAAATGTATTCAACTTAATGTTTATATATTCATTTCAAATTAATTGATTTTCATAAATTATCAAACAACACTTTTTTAATAATAATAAAACGTAAATAATTAAAGTAATAATTTTAATTAATTTTAATTTATAGTAATTGTAATAATTAAAACATTACTTCAAACAAAGAAATAAATAATAATGACATATTAAATAAATAGGTACATAAAATAAATAATAAATAAATAAAATCAATAATAAATAAATATAAATGTAGATTTGTTTATAATTTTACTACACCGTTGCATCACATTGCCAACTTCATTTGCATTAAAATACGTTCCATTTTTATCTTTTACATACATTCCACATTGAACCAGAAAGTGAACCAGATCAATTGCTGGTTCACCCCATTGTTTTTGTTTTGCATGTAAAATTGAGCGGATCATGTTTGCTGAAACGCAGCTAATATTAAACAAATTAAAAAAATACTAAACAATAATAACTACCCCAAATATTTCATTAACAAAATATTATTTTCAAATAAACATACACAATTAGATAAAAACACAACAGCGAGTAATTCAAATAATATTAAAAAAAGGTGCACTTTTCCAAACATTCCTGGATTATCTCAAAAAATATCGAAACTGTTCAAAGAAGAACAAATAATTGACGTTGTATTATATAATTTAAAAACAACCAATGTCTTTTTCTCTAAGCTGAAGGATTAAGAGAAAAAAGAAAATTTATCAAATCTAATATATAAGATTAATTGCAATGATTGCAACAAATCTTATATAGGAATGACAAAACAAAAATTATCAAAAAGGTTAAGTGAACATAAAAGTACGTGCAGACGCGCTGATGATTATAAAAAAAACAGCCCTATTTGAACATCATCATTCAGCTAGACATACTTTCAATTTCGAAGAAGTTTCAATTCTTGAAATTGAAAACAACTACCAAAAAAGAGTACTAGCTGAAGTAATACACATCATATTAAATTATTACAAGGTGGTGAATTTTAAAAAAGACAGAGAATTTCAGTGCTCTTTATTCTTATTTATTCTTATTTATTTGACAAATATCGGTTAAAAGAAAACAATTCGACCGGTTGATATTGATACAGAACCGTTTTAAGAGAAATAATAATAATGTATATTACATTTTTTGAATTTATAAAACAAAGACAACTATACAAATTGTACTAAAGGTCTTTTGACATAACAAAATAGATTATATTTTTCCATTTTTTTATTTTTGTTTCTAAGTTTTATTATTGTCTGATCACTTAACATATGTGATGTTAAAAATAAAAATAAAAATAATTATTCTTCATTTTATGTCTTTGAGTTCAATAGTGTCATTTTTTATATATATGTTAATTTTTCGTATATATTGTTTTAATTTTAAAGTCATAAACCTTAAATTAAGCTTTTTATTAAAAATTAAAGTATTATTTTAATTGTAATGTGTAATTTTTAAAAAATTTTTTTTGTAATTTTTTTTGTTTAATTATTATAGCCCTGAAGATGTTCCAAAATAAAGGACAAAATATCTGCTTCAAAAATCTAAATAAAATCAACTAATGAAAACACATCAAGTATTAGTGCTGCCTCCAGGCTATACAGAAAATATTGAGGAAAGAAACCAATAATTAACGTTGGAAGATATTGTCTGGAGACAACAGGATAACCTGAAGAGAATAGAGGAATTACATTTCCATTGGAAAACTGTAACAACAGCGATGACGATCTCGGTAGTGGCAGTTATTATTTTTAAAAACAATTATATATGCACTATACGTAAAATTGAATAAACGTACTTTGAACGAATCGGAAGCACCCCCCTTCACAGGACACTGAGTCTACAGTCGGTAATAAGGAATTATCCGCCTCATCTTACAGTGCAAAGTACGCCTACACAATATACTAATTCATACGTGGCACAAGCAGCACCAATTCCTCCACCGCTTCCTTCACAGAATACAGTTCAGTTCGCGAATACATGCAATGCAAACCCTACACCAGCACCACCGCCGCCAGTACATCCAAACCATAACAAACAAAAAAAAAAAAAAACAAAAAAAAATAAAAAAAAAAAACACCATTAGTCGTACATTAAAATAATAATAATAAATAATAACACGTAAAATAATCTTCTCAAAATTTTTTTATTAGTTACAAGCGTATTTGTGTGCTGGGGATGATATTATCCGTCTTTTATTAGGACGGGGATATAGGATTTGATCGATGTCAACACGGGTAGGAGCTTGGTAGGCATCTCCAGTTTCTTCAGTATTAATAGTATCCTCCGGGTGGGGCGTAGGCAACTAGAAAACTTAAATATTTTTATGAAGACTTAACATTTCTATATAATAATAACCTAAATAAATTTTTGCAAGTCCCAACAATTTTTTGTAATAATTTGTAATAATTTAAATTAAATTGAAAAACATTTTTATAAATACATTGTAATAATGTTCGAAGCAAATATATTTAAAAAAAAAAACAAAAACAAAAAAAAAATTTTTTTAAGCTTTCTTAATAAGCAAATTTGTAAACCTATTATCATAATATTTATAAAATTTGTAAACTTATAATAAGTAAATTTTTGGCATAATGTGGAATTGGCAATAAAATACAACAATAGTAGAGTAGGAATTTATAAAAAAAAAAAAATATTAAGAAAATAAAAGTCACAATTTTTTAATGTAAACCTTCATTTGATGCAAGTTTAATATAGACCATTAGATATGTGACATTGTGTGCCACAATGTTCTTCCCAGGGGGAAAGAATGTTGTAGGTTAAATAATTATTTATTTAACTTCACGTTTTGTAGTTTTTCCGTGGAATATGTGTATTATTTTTATTTGTGTACGATCTTAGTTGATCGTATATTTTCCTAAAAATAGGCAAGATTATCTGCATCTGGGCAGTTATTAACTAGAACCAAAGCATCAGAGCGTCAGTTCGACGTTCTAAATTATGAAACTATGGGAAAAACCAAGGAGGTAACTGGGGTAATTTTAAGGTCAAATATTGGATTTTTGCATCAAGTTTAGGTATAGAAGATGAGTTAAAAATTTGAACTGGAGAATAAGAAATGTAAAGTGGTTAAGCGTAGAAGCGCTACATAAAGTTTGAGTGTTTTATTAAATTCTGTGTAAACAATAAATGAAAGTTTAATAAATGTGGAAACAATAGAAAATTAAATATTTAGCGTTTCATTTTAACGTAATTGCGGTAATAACAAACAGTATCGACAACAATAACATCAGCATCAATATCTTTAACTGTAATAGCAACGTCACATACGACTTCCCCAATAACGACAGCGGATGTACTAACTGTTTTTGGATGGTCTGTTGGGAAGACCCGTCATTATCTCCAGTGAAAACATAACACCAGACTCAGACTTTGGTACTTATCAATTGCCTATATACATACTTTTAAAAGAAAATACACCATATCTCTCCAAGGGACATATGATATTTTTAATTACTACGAGCTTATGGAACTGTAGTGAGTTTTTCACGATAATACTCAAAGGAGGCAGTGATATAGTTCGTAATCCTTTCAAAATCTATCTATATATTATATGTAATATCCTCTTTACTGAAATGGACCATACAGACTGATGAAGATATAGAAAAGAAACTGGCACTTACTCGAAAAATTGTGTATAAAATTTTCTGGATTATCAGAAAAATAATCAAAATTTTGTGTAATGAGATGAAAATATCATGCAGTACAAAAAAAAATTATAATTCTACTCAATGGTGCTTGATAATTTCCCCCTCCCCTAATTGCATTGAGTAATTACTTTGCATTTCTTTTTATGTTATAACAAATCTAATAAAACAAGAAATAAATGTGAACAGCATTTGTACTTACTTTAATCCAGCACAAACAAATGCCTTAAAATGTGCGTTGAGACTTCTTTTATAAGGACGATGTACTGATATAATCATTCCAATAACCATTAATAAACTTTGCTTAACACTAACGGCACGTGAATCACCAATATCTAAATTGAAACTATCCGACAACTTCCGTGCAGGAGTATTATTGTATTCATCTCCGCGTTTCATATAATAATATTCCAAAATCAATTCCCAAGCATGCATTTGTCGATATACTCCATTACTGAGAAAGTTTGAGCTGCTTTTGTTTGTGTTTATATTTTTATTCCCATAAGCCACAGAGCCTTCATCTGAAGAAGCTGTTATAACCGAATTATGGCTTCTCCTCGTACTTAAATTGTGTTCGCTAGTTGTCATTGGAAATGGATTAAGACAGCGCATCAAAGGCATCATCACACTAGAGGTTGCAGATTCACTTCCCACACGTAAACCGTGTTGTATGAGTCGCATTAGCGTCATTGCGAAATTTTTTCTTACCGCATCGCTTAGCTCTCTACTTACAGTACTTATTAAATCATCTTTGGGATTTAAACTGTGCGTAATCATGCAACCATTTCCCTCCCAATCGTAACACTCGTTAATATCCTCTGTTAAGACGGAAGATATATGGCAAGCTTTTATTTCGCTTGATTCTATCCGCAATTTGCAATTTCTTGTTTGTTTGAACGGAATTGCAGTTAAAGTTTTATGGCGAGTAGTTTTTGACAACTTAGTTGTTATTTTTTCAGGCCGCATTGTGTTTGTGAGTGTTTTACGGTCAAGAGTTAAAGTACTTGCTAAGAAGGATATTTTCTGTATATCGATTTCAAGCTGAGCGCGTAAGTCACTGGAATAAAATAATAAAAACAGTTAAATTTGGATATAGTTATTAATTTTAAACCTACCCCCAATGACTAGCTTTATTGGTTTTTTTTAAAATATTTTTTTGAAAACGATGTGCTGTTGGATCAAAATGAGTTGTAGTAAACATCTGCATCAGTAAAGAAGCCTTGTCTACTAAGTTATATGCTTTTTCACGAAAGCTCTCAGGTTCATTTCTTTGTGTATTGTTACTAATATCTGCTTTTAAATGTTCAAAGTTTTTTGTATCATTCACTTCTGGCCTTATTTGTTCTATTGAATTCTTTGTAGGTGCTAAAATAATTTTCTTCTTTGCGGCATAACTGTTGTATGCTCCACTTTGCTTTCCATTATTACTAAATGTTTTCAGTTTTAAATCATCGGAATCGCATTGAAGATACGCTATAAAACGTTCCAAGTCAATTATTTGTGTTTTTAATTGATTTACAAGTTGTTCTTTCATTTTCAGGGGTCCGATAAATTCACCAAGTGCACTTTCAACTTGACATTTCAGTTCATCTGAACTTAACTCTGGCAAATCCTGTTGTTCAACCTTGAGATTTAACTTGTTTTTAAGTTCATCAATAATAATTCTTTGTTTTTCAAGTAATACGTCTTGTGGTAGTACTGGCGCGCCAGAATCATAAGCAAATTTTTCCAATTGCGATAATTGTAATTTCAGTTGACTAATAAGCTTAAATTGACGATCAAATATAATTTCATCCTCTTTATTAGTAGGTTGGATAAATAAACCACTATACTGTGAATCATCGCTAGTTAAAACATCTGCAGAAATAGGCTAGAAAAAATACTCTATTTAATATAAATATATATAATTTTAATGAGATATGTATACATAATTTTTTTAAAATATTAAATATTTTTAAATTTATTTAATTTTAGAAAATAAAAATTCCATTATTTTAGCCTCTCAGCTTATATGAAAGAAGGTACTATAATTTTTATATTTATTCGTTTATACTACTTGGCACTTGTAAAACTTGGCAGTTTTTACAGCTCGTGTTGTAGCAGACTAGCACTTAAGGTGTTGCTTTTAAAAATTGTGAATTATTAACAGATAAACACATCAGTCGTTGGCGTACAAAGTATAATATAATTAGATATGTTAATATTCACCTATGCACATTCTTATAAAATAAAAAGACATTGAATTAATTTAAGTGTAGTTTTATTAATTTATAACTTGGATATAAAGTTTTTCTTTATTTTTACACATGTAATTTTATAAGTCACATTATTATAACTTATCCTTGTTCGTAGAGTCTTCACATTTGGTTCATTTTCTTTTATACTAACATTCACGACTGATTATTCAAGACCGATACATCAATACTCACTCTAAAAGACTCACATATCTTTTCATAACATCGAAAACAGTTCGGTTTCTAAAATATATTAACTTTTAATATATTACTTTTAACAATTTTGTTATATACTTAATTTTTCTTGGTTACAATAATTCTTATTTCTATATACTTACATCATTGGCCAAGACCTAGTTTCATTACAGTTGACACACATATGGTAACCAACTGTAATGATGGCGTGGAAAATGTGTGTTTATTAAAACGCTCGTGATTTGATTCTTAATCTCTAAAGATTTATTATTGAGAAACACTAATCTACACAAATCTATAATGTCTGTTGACACTACATTTTTACTTCTCATAAGAACGTTCGTATTCTACATTTGGATGTTCGATATGTCAGGGATGTTATATGGCCGCCACATCACTCCCCTTACGGTTGAGTGAAAAATGCACCCTTCGACCATACCTGGATATATATAGTCTTTTGTCAACCTTTTGGACTTGACATTATACATGTCCTTCTTGGCGGCAGGATTGTTGTACGCTTGATCAACGTCGTCACTCACGGTGCCCTGCGAATCGTTAAATATGAAAGCTGCTTTCAACCGGTTAACGCTGGTGTTGCTCTTTCGGCCATCTACATCGATTTTAAAAATTTTTCGCTTCGCTCAAGCACTGGATACGGACCTTTGTATTGCGCTTGCAATGGTTTGTGAACCATTGAGTTCTTAACAAACACAAAAGGTGATGTGAACAGATTGCATGATTGGACGTACTTGTTGGACGCAGATCCCTCATTCACTTCAAAAATTCAGTAACATCATTGCTTTGCACTGTTTTATCGCCTTGTTCAGTAACGAGGAATTCACCTAGTAGTCGTAAACTGCAGCCGAAGGTTAACTGAGCTGGAGATGCGCCAATGTCTCCTTTAAACCATTTCTAAAACCTAATAAAATTAGCGGTAATGCATCGATCCAATTTTTAGTTTGATAGCATTTTATGGCGCCTTTAAGTGAGCGATGAAGTCATTCTATGATGCCGTTGGATGCCGGATGGTACGCTGTAGTTCGCAAGTGTCGAACGCCTAATATTTTTGTCAATTCGTTAAACAATAATGATTTGAATTGACGAACTTGGACTGTAGTGACTTGTTTATGTAACTTTCTAACTTCGTTTTCTCGAACGATTTTCTCACTTTTGACAATTACTCACTAGAAGTGTTTATGTAACTGTGGTGAATTGTTTTCTCACTTTTTTTCGTTCGAGTTTTTGTCACCTGTCAAATTGCTTGCGAGAAGTTTTGAATTTTGAATTTAAAGTTATACAAAGTGATAGTGATGACATTTAATTTCTTTAAATAATATATTTATTGATATAATCATAATGAGTAATGTAAGTACTTATATATTTACACATACACATAGCCAATAAACTCTGCGTACACCTTACGAATTTTGATATGTGATAAAGAAACATAACATAAATAAATATTTTTAATTAAAATGTTTACATATATTTATTCTTTGAATTATTAAGTTTAAATAGCAAAAGACAAAAATTGTATTCGACTATTCATTCCAGAGATAACGGGATAAAAGTGTGCCTGCATGTAAAAATAGGCCCCATAACAACACCAAATAACCAAAAAAAAAAAATATATATATCCATTTGCTTAAATATATATAATATTTTAAAAATATATAATGTACTATTTATTTAGTATCTTAATTTTATTAATAACAGCAATGATAAAAAAAATAGTCTTAAAACAAATTTAAATAAAGTTTCTCAATTAAAATATGATATTAAATTATGATATTATTATTAAAATTAAAATGATATTTAGTAGTAAAGAAAAAATTAATGAAAATAATTTCTTGTAATGGATTCCCGTACTCGCATAAGCAGGACTAACCATCAGACCACGTTCAAATGACAAGCATGCAAAAACCTTTTCAAGAACTTCATTCAACCGTTCAATGCAATTTCGAGCGTTAATATGCTTTGCATTGAACTTTCGCTGGCTTGCATTTTCAGAATTTCTAAAAGGAGTCTTTAACCATGGTTGAAGAGGATATCTGGAATCACCCAGTAACCAAATTGAGTCATTATTTTGCCTTTTTGATTGCGCTGTTCTCCCATATGAAGGCATCATCCGTACTTCCACCATAACGAGCATAGCATCCCAAGATTTTTAAATCGAAATCGCAAATGAGCTGCACATTTTTTGAAAAATAACCTTTTCTATTTCTGTAGCAATGCTCCACTTCTATATGCGGTTTTTTATTTTAATGTGCGTGCAATCAACAGCACCTATTACCCCTGGAAATCCTGTCGCATTGAAAAATCTGTGTGACACAATCAATTACTAAAATGCATCAATAAAACAAATTTGTTACCTTTGTTTAAGAGTATTCTGTTCATCTGCAGAAATGGGAAATTTTATGTACTTCTGCATCAATTTATCCTGAATAATAAAAGTCACTTCTTTTATTACCAAGCATAATGTTGACTTGCTTATTGGGCACACAAAGTCCTGTCCTATGTCGCGCAAAAACGACCCTGTTGCATAAAAATGCAGCGCAGCAGTTAACCATATATGCTTCGGTATATAGGTGTTTCTAACCCCAATCCTCATAAATGGACATATTTCTTTTAAAAGGCGTAGAGTTACTTCCTTATTAAAGCGAAATAGCTTGACAAAACGCGTTTCTGGCAAATGAAATGGGTCAGTTGAATAACGTAAATGCCTTCGATGAATGCTAAGCATATTTCTGCGGTCATGTACCACTGCAGTTAAAACATAAACGAGCCACTGGCTACCCTATTGCTGTAAAATGCATAAGCGACTGCTTTTGCGGTTATGTCTTGAAGAGGACAAACTTCCGTCCATCGTGTGTATCGTGTGTTAGTCAAGCACTTACGAAAACCTTTGCATACGGGTAGAGATCCGACTAAATCGATGTTGATATGCTTGAGTCTTGCTGCGGGGTTCATAAACTCTGATTGATTATGTCGATGCGTTTTTGATCTTTGGCACGGAATGCACGCTTTAGCCTAGGTATTACAGCCTTTCTTAATGTCAGGCCAAACGAATCTTTCAACCATCAGCTTCTTAGTAGCTTTTATTCCGGGATAATTGATGCTATGTAGCGAGACGAAGAAATTTTAAGTAAGTTTTTAGTCACAAATAGACGTATCACTCCTGTGGAAATAGCACAGTATACGAAAGCGCTCATTCCAGGAATATTCAATGACTTTAGCTGTAACACGGAATCTGGTCTAAGAAACGATTTAAGCTCCATGTCTTCGTTCTGCTTTAGAGCTAGTTCAGCATAATCAATTGTGTTGCTTGCGTGAATAGTGTCGATTCATGACATAGCATCTGCGACAAGATTTAGATTTCCCGGCAAATATCTTATGTCCGACGTAAACTGTCCGATATAGGTTAGCTGACAAGCTTGTCTGGGAGACGCCTTTTCTAAGCTCTGTTCGAACACATATAATAGGGGTTTGTGGTCGGTCAGAATCGAGAACTGACGTCCTTCTAACATATGCTTGAAGTGTTTAACGGCTCTGTAAGCAATTAGTAACTCCCTGTCATAGGTGCTATACTTTGCTTGGGCGACATTTAATCGCTAAGAATAGAACCCCAGTGATTGCCACTTGTTGTTTATTAGCTGCTGAAGAACTGCACTTGTTGCTATGTTTGATACGTCAACCGCTACTGCCAGTGGTACTTCAGATTTCGGGAAAGCCAAGTATTGCTTCAGCTAGTTGTTCCTTGCAATTTGTGTCCAATCATGAACATGAATTATTATATTATATTATTATAGTTTATTATTATATCGCCTAAAATCTGTTATTGCCTAAATTCCTTGAATTATGAAATTAAGAAAAAACTAGGGTAAAAAATACATTATATTAATATAGCAAACATTGTAATAGCATTGACAGACGAGCGCACTAAATTATCATTAAGCAGCTTTAAATGATCATTTTGAAAATACCCTGATATCATTAAGAAGTTGCTGAAAGGAAAATCTCATCCTCTTCCTTCCATGCGTGGCGCTTGAGTTTATTAATTTGAGTCATCTAAAATCAAAAGAAATATAAAATATATAAAAAAAAATATAAAATATATAAAAATATAACGAGTACTTACATTTACCAATGTTTCCAAATATGTTTTGTTTATATTTTGACAACCAAATAATTTGAAATTTGTTCCATTTTTTATTTCTTTTCACTTGCATATGCAACATTACCATTTCTAAAAACATAAATGACGAATAAATTGGGTTAAATTCGGTCATTTAAAGACCATAAATGATCATTGAATGAACTGCTAAATGAGCAAATAAATTATATTTTAGCCCCTTAATGATAATTTAGCTCCCGTTAATTTAGCTATAACATTTAATTATTCGTATTTAATTATGATAATAAATTTGTAAAGACAATAGAAGCAAGAATCCCAAGTGCTGGGACTTCTGTCCTTTTTTTTGACCTTTTATAAGATGTAATTAAATTTATTACAGTCAACATATTACAGACAACATATTATTTTAACCTTGATAGTAAAAATAGTTAAGTTTGCTTTAAGGTAATTTTGTGTAAATACAGTAATCACAAAATACTCAATCAGTGTACTCTAATAATTTAATAGTACATTTGGTCCTTCCAGCTGGATATAGCAAGAGTGGTATGTTTAAAGGAGAAAAGAAATAAAATAAAAATTTTTCAAATGATCCCCCACCAGTGGTAAAACACTTGGTTATATAAACAAAATTTTGGAACCTTACAAACTCTAAATTCAAAAAAAATCTATAGCTTTTTCCCACCAGTAGGAAGATACTATAGAAAATCAAAAGCATTATAGGGCTAAACATTGACATAATAAAAAATAAAAAAATAGAAGTCTTCGTTTCAAAATACCTGTACCACCATGTGCTTTACCATCTGGGTGATTGGTTTTATAGAATAAATAACCAGGAATAGAAAAGTTTAGTGAGTTTAAAAAGTTTAGTGAAGTTTATGAGTTCAAATTTATGTTGGCTTAAGCCGTTTGCATTCCATGTACAAATTTTTAAAGTACTAATTTATTAGACAAAAACATTTGCATTAATTGGCTTTGCATTTTTACTATCTCGTTAAGAGTAGTTTGCACGATTGACATAAACTGTGTTAAGCTCGGATGAGAGTGGAGATCATCATTTCCAAACTATTACTTTGAACTGGAGGGGCTTGTTGCTTGTCAGATTTAACGACATTAGCATATGATAAACCTGGTGTAACAGACTTAGAAGTTGAAGGTTGGGGTACTTCAACTAATTTGATGGCGTTGCTTCTTGTAGGATTACTCTGCAGTTTGCGGTG